AACTGCAACACGTTTATTTGTAAAATCAATATTTTTATTCCATTCAGCTGTATGACACATTTGACCTTGAAATTTATCAATACCAGGAATATCATTTGGATAAGATGCATTCGATAATGGTCCATAACCAGCTATAATAAACTGAGCATAAATTTGTTTTTCTTGATTATCTGATGATTGTATTGTTATTTCCCACAGTTGTTTATCATCAATCCATTTGAGTTTTGTAACTGTTGTATGAAATTTAATATGTCGACGAATATCATATTTATCTGTACAATGTTCAAGATAATCACCTATTTCAGTTTGTCGACTAAAAAAATAAGACCAATTTGGATTAGGCTCAAATGAAAATGAATAAAGATTCGATGGAACATCACATGCACATCCTGGATATTTATTCGCATACCATGTACCACCAACATGCTCATGACGTTCGATTACAATAAAATTATCAGTACCTAATTGTTTTAATTTAATAGCCATTCCTAAACCTGAAAATCCAGAACCAATAATAAGAGCATAATATTCATCTTCTTTTTGATTTGTTGTAACATGAAGTTTTCGATTTGTTTGTCGATTACCAAAGCCACATAGATCAAATATAAGCCAATAGAAAAACTGACCAGCAATACCTAGCACAGCTGTTATAGTCATCATGAGATAGGCACATAGTACACATAACAATAAGCGTCCTCTGGATGGTGCTGCTTCCTCCATCTAAAAAATGAAAATTGATTATAAACTTCTGACTAAGAAATGAAAGTTGAAAGTGAATACGAATGCTCTGCCTTTTAAATATATGTTTATCTCACTTGACTATATCTTCGTACGAATCGTACGAAAGCAAACATCAAGTATGTTGCTATTTTCATAGATTAAAGTGCAGGTTTTTTGCTTTTTTTTTTTCATTTCTTTTTTTTATATTGCGAACAAAAACTTGGGTAAATATTGTAATGCTTTATCAACACCGTAATATTGTTCTGTTTCTTTCTTGATGTTACATGAAGACGTCACTACTGTCATTTCGTGTACAAATGTATATGAATTCTGTGTTATTCGAGAAATCATGCTATTATGAGTACACCTATGTTAAAATGCTTCGTCATCGTAAATAATTTTCAAAAACACGTAGGTAACAAAAAGAAAAATAAAAGTAACTAAAAATAAACTATTCTATTTAATAAATAATTCATCGAGTCATATTTAAAATATATCGAGCTCGTCGAAGTAATGGTTTATCAACCATTGTTTGACCACGAAATGTAAATGCTCCTTTGCCTTCTTCTTTTTCATGTTTTTCATATGCTTGTATTAATTCTTTAGCCCATGTTATATTTGATTCTGATGGTGAAAATGCTGCTTGAACAATTGGTACTTGTTGAGGATGAATAACTTGTTTACCAGTAAAACCCCAAGCAGCACCTTGTTCAGATTGTTTTTTTAATCCATCTAAATCTTTAAAATTGATATAAACCATATCAATTGGTTGAGCATTTTCAAATAAGCGACATATTGTTACTAATTTTTGTCTTGCATAAGTTAATTCAATTGCATCAAGTGAATAACGACCATTAATACCAACATCAGCTGAAAAATCATCAGAACCAAAAACAACACCTTGTAGTGAAAATAAACTTGAAGCACTTGTAAGAATTGAACGAAGATCAACTAAACTTCGTGCACTTTCACAATATAATACGAGATTATATTGACGTTTCGACTAAATAAACAAAGAAATTTAGATTATGAAATAGAAAAAGAAATATTCATTTAAATCTAATATATGATCATTCATGTAATTTTAATCAAAGATTATGACAAAGAAGATAGGGTTTTCAAAAAAATTTGTTATAAAATCTTTTGATGAAAATTACGAAATTTCAAGTTATAGTTAGTTTTTTAAAATCGATTATATATCAATAGTTATTGACAAAAACAATGAAGTTATTCTAGTCGAACTCTGAATTAAATTAAATAAAATAAAAAAAATTTACCATGAAATCATTTATTTTGGTTTATCCTAATTCACAGAATTCTTGTAAAAAAGTTTTTTTTTGTGTCATATTCTGTTCAGAACGTTTCATACTAAGATCCTAACAATGAATTCCATGAATTCAATAGAATAGGTAAATTGAACTCTCTATACGTCAGTTAACAGTACAGTACTTTGTTATCAGTATGCCGCAGGATTTTGTTTCCATGTCTTCCTGAGAATTATTTCAGCACTTACGTACTCACCAGGTAACTTCCCAGCTTTTATAGCATTCTATTCCTAAAGAAATTTTCCACAAATTATTAGATTGAACATTAAGAAGCATTTTGCAGTCAAGTACTAAAAATTCATAAAGTATCCAAAAGTATCTATGACATACTAGTAACAGAGTATTCTGAACTCAGTACATTTATTAAGAAAATCAATCGTTTACTTCTATTTTCTAATAGTGGATTATTGTTATTAAAATGACTATAATATTGAATCTAAGATTCCTGAATCTGATGCACATATAGAATAAGATACTTTTCGTTGATGATTAAAATTTTCGTTCTATTTTTCTGCAAGGTATTCAAATGAAATTCTAAAATATAAAATTTACACTTACACCAAGATGATCAGCAAGCCATTTCATTTCATCTACTGATTCAACTTTAGGTATAAATAAACAATCAACTAATGTTGATAAATCTTTTAAAAGTTTAACATCATCATTAATATGATTAGATGACATAGAATTAATACGAACACATATTTCTCGATTAATTTTTGATGCTGATTCGTTTAAATAGCGAAAGATATTTTCACGTGCTATTTGTTTGGCTGTTTCAGCAACACCATCTTCTAGATCAAGCACAACACAATCTGTATTTGTAAATGTTGGAAGTTTTGTTAATTTTTTCCAATCACTCGAAGGTACTGTTAATACAGCACGACGAGGTAAACTTCGTCCATAATAAGCACCTGCTTGACGTAGGGCAGTGGCACCAGTAGTAGCCATATTTATTTTGTACACCACGACACATATGTAAACGTGCTAAACAATGGTCAAAAGCAAGTAACTAATCATATTCGATATTCAAATATTCACATGTATGTAAATAGTTTCATTGATTGAAATATAAAGATTATAATTACATGAAAAATTGATTAAATAGTATAATCCAACAGATGTTTTTTATTTGTCTTGATTGTCATATATTCAAGTGACCTCTGTCGTTTCATATTGTTTATCGATTTTTGATAATCAAAAATTTTTTTTGGACAAGAGTATCTTATGTTTGAAATGTTCGTTTAATGATAACAAAGAAAACTTTTTTACAATTTTATTCGATGAATTTATAGGGTAAAATTAGATAAACTTTCCATATTGTTTTAGAGATATCATATTCAAAAATCAAAATACTAAATATATTTGTTTGTTTAGAATATAGAAAAGACTTTGATAATTTTTCTTTATTCGAATAGTTTAACAAAATACAACGGGTTAAACTAATGTAGCTATCATGTAATTCATCTGTCAACATAATCATGAATAAGAATATCAAGATTAAGTGTTAACAGAATAAAATTTTCAAAAAAAAATTTTTATCAACTTGTCAAATTTAAATTATAAAATAGACTATTGTGAATAAGATAAATTTGAAATTTCTAAATAAAATATGGACACAGCAGTCTATAATTTTATGATCATGAATCTCAAGAGTTATTATTTATTGAATGATCTTCAAATTTTCAACTTATTGTGTATATTCAATATTAAAGTCATTTGATGATGCATATCCATCGATGTTGTTTTCACCTTTCTTTTTAACTCTTACTATATTCAAGTATCATCGTTGTTGCAAAGATATTATTCATACAAAAAGTACATTTGAATAATAAATATATAATTTGATCTATAGGTATATCATATTTCGAATAAACGTTTATGGATGAAGGCAAATGTCGTATACTGTATTATAACTAAGCTATACAGTAAGAACGATAAAGAGAAAAAAAAAGAAAAAAGAACGATATATATGTTTGTTTAACATTGTCTGACCTCTTTGATTATTCTGCAGTAGCAACAACATAAAGAAGAAACATGCAGTCGTTGGCCAATCTTGCATCGAATATAATCGATCGAGAAGCATTTGCTTCATGTACCAACGATTTTTCTCGTATAAATTATCTTTTCTCATGTTCCGAATTTGTTTCACTTTCAAAAAAACCATCATCATTATTAGATGAACAAACAACATATTTAAAATGTGCAAAAACATCTAGTGAATATCGTGAAAAAGGCAATGCAGCCTATGCAATTCATAATGATCATCTTGCATTAACATTTTATAATCAAGCAATTCGTTATGCTTCATCCTATTCTCGTGAACTTTCACTTGCTTATGGAAATCGATCAGCAACATTATTTAATCTTAAATATTATCATTTAGCATCACAAGATGTACATCGTGCACTTGATCTTTTATCATTAAATGAAGAAGATGATATACGTCGAGAACGTCTCGAACAACGTTTACAACAATGTCTTAAAAATAAATCTACAGAAATCGAAACAAATGATAATGAAAATAATCAATTAGAAAATGAACTTAAACAATTAAAATCAAATCAAACATTCAATACTAATTATCCAAGTTTAACAACATATGCTGATATTCATACTTCAGTAGATCGTGGTCGACATGTTGTTTCAGCTAATACATCATCATTATTAAAGCCTGGTACAATTATTCTAATTGAACAAGCATATGCATCTGTTTTATTACCATCAGCATGGTTTACTCATTGTCATATGTGTTTACGTCGACTTCATCTTATTTTATTTGCTTGTTCTCAATGTACACGAGCAGTTTATTGTTCATTAGATTGTCTTCAACAATCAATAGTTTGGCATGCATTTGAATGTCGACTTACAATTGATTGTCTTGAAAAAATGCAATTATTAGCATTACGTTTAATAACTAAAACTGGATGGCAATATTTATATAAAAATAAATTAGAATTTGAAAAATATCTTAAACAAAATAAAACAGAATCTCAAATAGAAAATCCTACTGAAAAAATTTATGAATGGAATAATTATGAAAATATTTTAAAATTAGAAACAAATTCACATAAACGTACAGTTGATGATTTATTTCAACGATCAATTCAAGCATGTATTATTGGTTTATCTCTTATTAATAATACATCATTTTCTCGACAAGCATTTGAAAATTTAGATTATCAAATATATATTTGTTCATTACTTTTATCTCATTTACAATCATTACCATGTAATGCACATGAAATATCAGAATTTATTTATCATCGTTTATCGCCACTTTCATCATCCTGTATTGAAATCGGTGCAGGTATCTATGCAACATTAAGTTTATTTAATCATTCATGTAATCCAAATGTTATACGAAATTTTATTGGTGAAACTGTAATTGTTCGTCTTCTTAGTTCGATATCATCAAATAATATTGAATTATTAGATAATTATGGTTGTTTATCAGCAACAATGAATAAAAATGAACGACAAAAAAAACTTAATGAGCAATATCATTTTGAATGTCAATGTCAACCATGTATTGAACAATGGCCAAATTATGATCAATTACCTGAAGGAACAGGTGAAAAAAATATAATATCAAAAGAATTTGATGAAGCATTTAAACGTTTAATTGAAGGTGAAAAACCTTCAAAAAATGATTTAAATACATTTGAAGAATTT